CCACAAACCAGCCCCTAAAAGGGCCACTGTGGATCATTCAAGGCACTTACAAACATGAGAAAAGAATTTATGAGAAAAAGGCAACTAATCTAAATGTTATGGTTACCCTCACACTTCAGAGTTTTCTCATCTTTACTCAATTAAAAGAAAAGTCTGTATGTTCTTGGGTGGAGAATTCATACAACTAACTTCAAGTAGTTTATTATTAAAAACACTCTGTAAGTAGGAACAGAACCAATCAGGATGAACTTCTATTTAATCCCAACTGCAACAGGAAAGAAATAAGAGTTTAATTGAAACTAACTATTAATATTAAGCTTCTAAAAACAAGTAAATGAGTCGATGTAACTTTAAACAGTTTTTAATGAAAAACAATTACAGATACTTGTCTGTATTTTAATGAAACTGGAAAAAATTCACTGCTCCAGCCCCGGGCTGCCAAGGCACCAGTGAGTACCTGGAGAAGAGCATGAGCAAGGACCCTGCCCAGAGACAACCCCACCCTGAGAGCCACCAGCCAAAGGTCACCCAGAGCCTCCCAACACACAACTACAAACAGCTCTCCTGATTTAATTCTGATTTTCCCCTTAGAGCAGAAAGCAGCCAGAGATGTTTATCCGATTCAGTACAACAGAGATTACTTGAAATTCCACTTGGGATTTGGAGCCGTGGGCCCAAGGCATGCAAGGAGGGAATGCTAATGATCACTCCAGCAATATATAAAAACCCATTCCATTAATTTATATGAAATGAGAATTAAAGGGCACATGATTGGTTTGGTAGTCACTCTCTTTTACAGCAAAACAAACACCCTATGAAGAATCCCCTGCTTGGCCAGTACTGCCTGACACACTTGAGCTGGTGTGTGTGTGCAGGTCCCAGGAAAAATAAACGTTGTACTGAGCGACTTGACCGGAGTGGAGGCCGTGAGAGAACAAACTCGGATAATGGGAAAGTTTGCTCTTTCAGCAGAAGTACCTGCTTTCAGGTTAAGTCCCTGGGGGGAGAAGCAGAACTCCACCGCACAGGCAGGGAAGTCACAGTCCCGTTTGCAGCAGAGGGCAGAGCTGCGGGCAGGGCAGGGTGGTTCCCACGGGCTGCAGCCCTTCCCGGGCCCGGGCGCCGAGACCGACACACCTGCCGGTGGTTTTGTTACAACTGAGTCACAGGGGATGCACCCTCTGACGGCTTCGTGAAGGCGAGAGAGGCTGAGCAGCAGCTCAAGTAACCCAGCATGAAAGGAAACGAAAGTCCCCAAACCCCAGACAGGAAACGCACGATGCAAATAGCTCTGGGGGGCTTGGGGGGGCGGCAGGGACCCC